TCTATATCTTCATCTACTTAAACTCACTAAATATTTAGATAAAATATACATAGAGGAGTTTTATTCACTGCTTTAAATCAAACCCACTCAGTAAGTCAGAACTGCTTCAGTACAGGAATGAGCACACATTCACAGTGGTCCAGTCTTTCTGTTCTCTATTGCCAGCTCTTGCATGAGTACCCCTTACGCTGTCTCTTAGTGGGTTCTACATCAATACAAATAATAAAAATAGAAAAAGGCTCAGCTTCAAAAGCCATGTAAGCTAAGGAACACAGTTGGTGTCCGTCTACATGACTAGATAATGTCTACGTGACATTTTAGTCAGCCGATATAACATTGGGGGGAATTTGGTTTGGAGCTTTGTATATATATATATTTTTTAAGATTTTATTTATTTATTCCCCCCCACCACCAAAGCCCCAGTAAATAGTTGTATGTCATAGCTGCACATCCTTCTAGTTGCTGTATGTGGGACACAGCCTCAGCATGGCCGGAGAAGCGGTGCGTGGGTGCGCGCCTGGGATTGAACCCGGGCCGCCAGCAGCGGAGCACGCGCACTTAACCGCTAAGCCACGGGCTGGCCCTGGAGCTTTATATTTTTAACCCATATCTGTTAAGAATCCAAAACTTAGCCAGAAAGTACTAAAGAATCCAAAAATTTGCCAAAGTGCAAAGAAAGCTGTGCATTAAGAATTAGTTTTTGAGGGCTGGCCCCGTGTCTTAGCGGTTGAGTGCCGGCGCCCCGCTGCTGGCGGCCCGGGTTGGATCCCTGGCACGCACCCACGCACCGCTTCCCCCGCCATGCTGAGGCAGCGTCCCACATACAGCAACTAGAAGGATGTGCACCTGTGACATACAACTGTCTACTGGGGCTTTGGGGGGAAAAAGATAAATAAAATTTAAAAAAAAAAAATTAGTTTTTGAAACCTTTACAATCACTTTCATTTTCTTCAGGTGTGTTGTAGGTTCTGGCTGTGAATCTGTAATAGGGTCTGACTCATACTTCTTCTGTAAATGACTATAAAACTGGACAAAATACAGGAAGTAAATGCTTTCAGATGTTGGGAAAAACACTGGGCTGTGACCCTTGAGAAAATGAAAACATAGCAGGTGAGGTTGCATTCTTCCCAGCTTTCTGCAGAGATCGTTTTTACCTTGTCCCTGATCAATATCCTGAAACTTACGAACACTTCAGGCTACAGGAGTGAATGATCTGCACAAGAAGAGCAGTAAGATAAGGTTTATTAGCTTTCAGTTACAGTGGACAGTGTGTGAGTGACTCTACGGAACGTTATGTCCACTTGGATTTGTAACCTTTGGGGGCATCTGAAATAATATTTGTAGCCTCTGGGAGCATGCTAAACTTTAAGTGCTCCGTTGCAGGCAACTCCGCAGGAATCTGAGTACGGCCCCTTTAAGAAGGAAGGACGCCGCTCCACCGCCCTTGGAGCCAGGACACCATTTCCCAGCGCCCCTTCCGGTGCTGCTCCGCCTTTGTTCCGGGAGGTTCCACGATGGGGCTCCTTTCACCGAGGCCTTTGGAGCTGTGAGAACTGCATTGCCCAGAGGACCCTGCGCCGAGCGACGTCAGCGTTGAGCCAATGAAGGTTCAGGAGAGGGGCGTTTCTGTGTGTGCCGTCACAACGGGGTGGGACTTCCGGCGTCCTCCTCGTGGCGGTCGTTTTGGCTGCTCTCGGCTGTGTTTGCTGGTCCGAGGCTCCGGGGCGTGGGCTCTGGATCGAGGTGACGGGAAGGAGGAGCCGCGAAAGGAGTCGTCGTCCCCGCCGCGCAGAGGCGGCCCTCAAGCATCGGGTTGCAGTGACTCTGCTTCCTGGTCCCGCCCGGCGGTGCCCGTGTCTGCTCCACGCGACTCGACCCCGGAGTCCGATGGCGGCGGCCGCGCGGAGGGAGCCGGTTCAGGTCAGTGTTCGTGCTCCGCGTCCTCCCCGCCCTCAGCCCAACCCAGCCTTAGAGCCCCGAGTGCGGGTGCTGCTCACGGGCCTGCAGCCCAGGCCCCGGTGTCTGGGATGAGGAGGCGCTCGTGGGGCCTGTTTCTTTTTTTTCTTTCTTTCTTTTTTTTTGTTTTTATAAGGAAGATCAGCCGTGAGCTAACATCCATGCTAATCCTTCTCTTTTTGCTGAGGAAAGACTGGCCATGGGTTAATACCTGTGTCCATCTTCCTCCACTTTATATGGGACGCCGCAACAGCATGGCCTGACAAGTGGTGTCTCAGTGCTCGCCCGGCATCTGAAACCGGGCAGCCAGCAGCGGAGTGCTCGCACTTAACCACTATGCCACGGGGCAGGCCCTCGTGGGGCCTGTTTCTGAGAGCCGGGGTGACGGGTGTGGGAGAGGATCCCAGGCGGAGGGCCCGGCGGGGGAGAGGAGTGGAGGGGCGACTGGTCTGGAAACATTCGAGAAACCTGGGGTCTGTCTTGTTCCTGCAGGGAGCAGAGAGTAAGGTGGAGTCTCACCTGGATTGGCAGGCTGAGGGGTTGTGGGCCCTGGGAGCCGTGGGGAATTTCAGCAAAGGGAAAATGTGATGTGAGTTAGGAATACAAGTTTCCCAAGAGGCTCTTGGAGAGGATTGATGACAAGGAGATTGAGCCTTTGTGAGGGTCACACAGCTGGTAAGAGTCAGCACTGAGGCCTGAATCCCAGAGTTTAGACAGTCAGCCCGAGGTCTCCTGGCTCCGGGGGTGGGGTGGGCAGAGGTAGAGTGAGGACTAGAGCCCATTGAGCCCCACCGTGGTTGCCTGCTTCTGCTGATCTCTGCTGGCTGGTTCCCACAACTAGCGAAGCACTTTGGAACCTACACAAGTAAAGGGAAGGCGCCCGAGATCCTCACTGGTCCTCACCCCATCCGTATGGTGCCTGAGATTGTTATGTCTTGGGATTCCTCACCTGCCATTCTCTCAGTCTTTATGTCTAAGACTCTGGAGAAACGTTGAACCCAGCCTTGGGGTTATATAGAGGTGTTCCCAATTCTGATAGTTGGTAAAATGAGATTGTCAGGGGCACAGGTACCAGTAAGTGCAAAAGGATGAAGGTGAGGTTTAACTGTAAGTATTCAACGAAATGTGAGTCTCCCGTCTTGTAGGGCTCTTTTCCTTCTAGGGGGAACAGAGAGCAGGGAGGCGGGAGGCAGGAGGCAGGCCTGCAATGTCTCTCTCAGAAGTTGAGCATACTTTTTTTTTTGGAGGTGGGTGGGGGCAAAGGGAAGTTTGGATCATAAGACGGAGGTGATCTTACCTATGCCTTAACATGTTCTATCTAGCTGCAGAAGAAAACAAACTGGGAGGGTTAGGGAGGAGGGTACCACGATAGACCAGGTGAGGTGGATATAAATTGTGGCCATGGAAGTGGGAGAAGTTGTTGGATTTTAGATTCATTTTTTTAAGTTGAGCCAGTCAGATTTGTCAATGTAGAGAGTGAGGGAGAGAATGGGATGAGTCAGGGTTTCAGAAAACACTGAAGGGAGGTATCAAGTGGTCTGCTGCATATAAAGGTCTAGGTATTTGAGGAGAGGTTCAGCATTAGACATATCTAGGTGGTAGCTGCTGTGTGGTCGGAGTGGAGCTTTGTGTCACATTTAGGAAGAGAAATTCAGGTCATAGTGGTTATGTTAACAGGCAGGAAGAAGAGAGTGGGTACCCAGTCTGGGTCTCTTTCTTGGGCACCTGGTTGGAGGAAGTGGCCTCTCAAACACAGGTGAGGGAGAGGAGTGGCCATAACGTGGGGGGAGGATTTGAGGATGATCTGGCAGGTGGCCAAGGCTTCCGAGGGAAGAGTGGACATGAGATGAACGCAGAGGCGTAGGAGTGATTGAGGCAGGTGGCCCTGAGGCTGGGGCTGCCGCTCATTCACCGTTCTTGACTCACCAGAATTTTGTGGTGACTTTTCATGGAGCCTGGGGTGTTTCAGTGAGGCTAGTGGATGAGCTCAGGTGCAAATATGGTCATCGGTGAGTTACTAAGCCTGGTGTTATGGGCTGAATTTTGTTTCCCTGAAATTTACACATTGAAGTTCTAATCCCCAGTATCTCAGAATGTAACTATATTTGGAGATAAGGTCTTTAAAGAGGTAATTAAGTTAAAATGAGGTTTTTGTATGGGCTCTAATCCAATTGTCCTTATAAGAACAGGAAATTTGGACATAGAGAGAAGCCACAAAAGAAACTAATCCTACCCCTACCTTAATCGTGCTACTTTAGTCTCTAGAGCTGTCAAAAAATAAATTTTTGTTGAAGCTACCCAGTATGTGGTACTTTGTTATCGTTGTCCTAACCAATGAATATACCTGAGGAGGAAGGCCACTGGGTCTGGGCTTTGAATAGGGTAAGTGGACAGAAAAGAGCTGTGACTGGTGAGGGGACATCAAGTACAGCATAAAGTGGGAAGAGGACCAGGGCTATGTAAGATGGAAGCAAAGATCCAAGACAGGCAGGCTGGCCTTCACAGTGGATTTGAGGCTGCCCCAGGAAGTGGAATTGAGCAGAGGTCTGGGGTCGTCCTGTTTGATTTTGCCAGGTACTCTTGGTGCCGTAGAATGAGTAATGTGGGGATGTGGTTGGGCGGTGCAAAGATGCAAAAGCGGTGCTAAGAAAGATGTGCATCTGGAGAGGGAGCAGGAGCTGAGAGCCCCGGGGCCTTGATATTAAGGACTCAAGATTGAAAGGTGAGACCACGTTTGGTTGTACCTGGGAGGTACACCTGGAGAATCCCAGGGAAATTGCCTGGCTGCGGGCTGGTCAGGCCCTGGAGGCCGGGCTCTGAACCTGGATTCTGTCTCTCTGGCACCTGTCTGTTATTGCTGAGGGCTAGACACAGTGGTTAATGGGACCATGAAGAGAGAGTGACATCAGTTTCACCAGGGCCTGGTACCGCCTCTGAGTTGGGGAGCTTGGGAGGAGGATGAACATGGGGTAGGTGCGTGGGGGGTGGGTTATGGGTCCTTGGAGAGGAGCTGTTTGTGGTTTCATATCTCCCATTCATGGCAGGATAGTGTGACCTTTGAAGACGTGGTTGTATACTTCTCCTGGGAGGAGTGGGGTCTCCTTGATGAAGCTCAGAGATGCCTCTACCATGATGTGATGCTGGAGAACTTTGCCCTTGTGACCTCATTGGGTAAGGCCCTCCTCCTCCCCCAGTACCCTGGGGCTAGACTCTGCTCTTTGCTTTTCTCCAGGGACTGCACTGTTCTTCTCACATTTGGACTATGGTGCTGCCTCCTTTCCGGGTTCCCTGGCTAGGTGCTGGGGTCAACAGGCTGGGCTGAACAACTCTTCCTTCTCAAGCCTGCAGCCCCCAAAGTGCTGCCTTAAAACTTCACAGGGAGGCATTCAGGATCAGAAGTCTTGCGGGGAACTTGATGGAACACCTTGCTTGCCCTCTTCCTGGCACTTCTGCCCAGGATTTTCTCCTTCCTTCTAGCAGACGCTGTCTCCTGTCTGTGCCAGTAGTGATCTGTTCCCTACCTTTGGGGACCATGGGCTATTTTTAGAATATTTAGTTTTGTTTCCTGTTGTCTGTCATGTGCACAGTTGCTCTGGGTCAGTACTATCCCTTCACCTGTCCTGTCATTGCCTTAGGACTTATATCATACAGTTCCCATGCAGTTGTTCAACTGGGGTTTAGGAAGAAGAGTCCTGAGTGCTTCACAGAATAGGCTCAGAGGAGGCCTGACCTTGGTGAATGGCAGTTGTGGGAGGACGTGACATCAGGGCTGTGTTCACATCATACCAGAACTTCCCCTGTGTCCACCAGTGTGTTGACACCAGTGCCAGTGACCACACCTCACTTCTGCCTTTCCTTGCTCGTTCTTTTTTTTTTTTTTTTTTTTATTTTTTTTTTTTTTTTTTCCCCCAAACCCCCGGTAGATATTTGTTTGTCATAGCTCACCTCCTTCTAGTTGCTGTATGTGGGACTCGGCCTCAGCACAGCCGGAGAAGCGGTGCATCGGTGCGCGCCTGGGATCCGAACCCAGGCCGCCAGCAGCGGAGCGCGCTCACTTAACCGCTAAGCCACGGGCCGGCCCATCCTTGCTCGTTCTTGACTGACTTCTGGTCCCTGGCTGCCCCCTCCTTTCTACCTCCATATATCACCTTTTCTCTACTGTTCCTTCTGCAGTGTTCCCCAGTATCAGGTCACACATACACACAACCTTTAGTTTTTGAACACCATCTAGTCGGTTGCAACCAGATTTTCCCGGCCCTGGACACAAACTTCCACACAGCGCTCACGTGTCACCAACAGCCACGGCCCTGCTGAAGCCCACTGGCAGAGGAGTGAATTGGACCTACTTCCTCCTGTGCTGCACCCCATCCTTACATCCTTCATCTTGTGAGGCCTCCCTCATTCTTGTGAATTTTTAGAGTCCTAGTACTGCAAAGCAGCCCCTTCATCAACCTGATCCCACTGCCCTTATGTGGAACTCAGTCCAATGGATTCATTCGTTGGTGTTCTGACAGATTTGTGGTGGAACTGTCCCCTGCCACCATAAACAACATGCACTTCACCACCAGCATTTCTGTGCTTTCAGGTTGTTGGTATGGAATGGAGGATGAGGAGGCCCTTTCTGTGCAGAGTGTTTCTGTAGAACGAATGTCACTGGACAAGACTCCAAATCCAGGTCCATCCATTCAGAAGACGCACCCTTGTGAGAAGTGTGTCCTCGTTGGGAGAGACATTTTGTATCTGGCTGAGTACGAAGGATCACATCTTGGGCAGAAATCATACACCTGTGAGGCATGTGGAAAGCAATTCTGGTTTAGTCCAAACCTCCACCAGCACCAAAAGCACACTGAAGAGAAGCCGTTTGGAAGGGACATGGACAAGGCCTCGTTTGTGACGAGCTGCAAAATCCATGTGTCTGGGAAGCCCTTTACTTGTGGGGAAGTTGGGAAGGACTTCCTGGCCATGTTGAGTCTTCTCCAGCATCAGGCCACTCTCAAAGAGGCAAAGCCACACAGCAATTTGAAGTGTGGAGAGGCCTTTCATAGTGAAAAAAGTCTTTACAAGTGCCGTGAAGATGGGAAATCAATCAGCTGTGAATATAAACTTTTTCAACATCAGCAGATTCACACTAGAGAAAGTTATTATGACTATGACAACTGTGACAAGCCCTTCAACCAAAGTTCCATCCTTAGTAATTGCCAGAGAGTTCACACAGGAGCAAAGTCTCACCAGTGCACCGAATGTGGGAAATCCTTTAGCCAAAGCTACAGCCTCATTCAACACTACAGAATTCACACTGGAGCAAGGCCTTATAAATGCAGCGAATGCGGAAAAGCCTTCAGCTACAAATTCAGACTTGTTCAGCACTTGCAGATTCACAATAGAGTGAAGCCTTATGAATGTGGCGAATGTAGGAAATGCTTTAGCTACAGCTCTACTCTCATTAAACACCAGAGAGTGCACACTGGAGCCAGGCCTTATAAGTGTGGTGAGTGTGGGAATTCTTTTAGCCAAAGCTCCAACCTCATTCAACACCAGAAAATTCACAGTGGAGCAAGGCCTTATAAATGCAGTGAATGTGGAAAAGCCTTCAGCTACAAATGCAAACTTGTTCAGCACCTGCGAATTCACACTGGAGAGAGGCCTTATGAGTGTGGTGACTGTGGGAAATCCTTTAGCCACAGGTCCACTCTCAATCAACACCGGAGAATTCACACTGGAGCCAGACCATATAAGTGTGATGAGTGTGAGAAATCCTTTAGCCAAAAGTCCAACCTCATTCAGCACTGGAGAGTTCACACAGGAGAAAGGCCTTACGAGTGTGGGGAATGTGGGAAATCCTTTAGCCAAAGCTCCCACATCATTCAGCACAGAAAACTTCACACCAGATAACCTCATAAACGCAACAACTGTGGGAAAACCTTTAGCCAATGTCCTCCTGCAATTCAACATGAAAACTTCACAATCCAACTATACTTCCTTTTGTGCAGCAAACTCAGGAAACCCTTCCTCTAAAGGTCTAGATCTTGTTTTGCCGCAGGAAGTCCACATAGGAGAAGGGCCTTTGACCTGCAGGGAACATGATATTTCTTTGTTCGGTGTAACAGAACTAGAGAGTCTTTGTGAGGAGCTGCCTGCCTGAAGTCAAACCCCATACATCTGAGCATCCACAGTGGGGGGATTCCCCATGAGTTCTAGCTTGTGGGGAGCTTGTAGGAGCCTTGTTGCATATTCTATCCTGCCGGTTCCCTGCCAGTTTCTGTGGTAGAAGCCATCTCCCCTCTACCACCTGGAAGTCCACACAGTGTGTATCACCCTCCCCAGTGTGCTCAGGGAAGGCAAATGTCTCTGTTTTCTCTCCCATTCCTTGGAGAATGTAATGAAAGTTCTGTGGGACCTCATTCTCTCCTCTCTGACTAATTAGGGCATGATCCTGACCCAGTTTTGGCCAAGATCAGTCTGGGTAATGCCAGCGGCTTACAGCTTAAAAAGAGTCCAGTTCTGGTCTAACTTGCACTGCTGCCCAAGGCCTCCTAGGAAGGACTACAGGGCTTTGTATTCCTAGTTTATGGCATGGATGCCAGGATTTTTGTGGGCCCAGAGGTCACCTGGAGGAGGGTATAGTTGTCATGACAACTTCTAGTGTTTCCATGAGAAGTTGAAATTGGTTCCCAGGGATGTCACATACTGTCAGGCGCTATTGGGGGAGCTGTACCCCAGGTACTGCAAATCGTGTGCCTTCATATCTAAAGTTTGGATTTTCTTACATCACTGGTTGTAAGACTACAGGGGCCAGGCTGAAACCAGTTTGTACAGAAACACTGGATGTGATTAATTAACATGCACTGGAGGAGACCGCAGAGAAAGGTGCGTCCACAAGGTGTCCCAGTGACTATGGCTACATGGGATGAGTGTATAGTACACTCTATACCTGTGTCCTTCCTGTAGTTGAGGCCATTGTCAGAGCAAACAAAGCTTTGTTTTTTCTTCTAGCCTCGGGACCCTTGACCTCAAGGATAGTGCTGCATAGGCAAGAAAATGAGAGTAGACAGAAGGGAGCTCTTGTAGCCCAGGGATGTGGTTTTTGTGACCCAGCAGCTATTCCTGCTGACCCAGATAGAAAAGATCTTTGCTAATATTTTCTGCCACTGATGCAGGGCTGCCCTTCTCAAGGCATGAAGAGAGCGATTGAGTTGATGTAGGGTTTCTAAACCTCTGGTTAGGAGAAAAGATATCTAGACTTATATTTGAACAGTTTTTACAAAGCTTTATTGAGGTGGAATTGATATCCTATAAGCTGCACATATTTAAACTGTACAATATGGTTTTGACATACATGTACACTCATGAGGCCATCAAAATCATGATAATGGACATATCTGCACCTCTCAGAATTACCTGTGCCCTTTTTTAATCTGTCCCTCTGCCTTCATGGCAACTATTGATTTACTTTCTTTGACAGAAAATTTGTATTTTATAGAATTTTATATGATTGAAATCATAAAATGCTTTTTTTTTAAATTGTGATTTCCCTCATGCTGCATAATTATTTTGAGATTCATAAATGTTGCTTATGTAAATAATTTGTTATTGTTGGGTACTATTTTGCTGTATGGATGTAACATGATTTGTTTACCCATTTCTCTGTTAATGGACAACGGCTTGTTTGCAGTTTTGGGCTATAATAAAGCTTCATTTGTCTGCACAAATGGAATGTGTGCTGAAGGCCTGTGAACCTTACCCCCTTATTCCATCATTGTATGGCTGTTGTTTCATCTAGCCTCCCTATATTAGTGGATTGTTTTATTTAGAAAAATGGTTAAATTTATAGTATGTTTAGGAATTTCATGTGTAGAAAAAGGAATTTAAAACTTAGGAGTATATAGATTATGTATAACATGCATGTAAAAAAATAAGACACTAATAGAAAACACTTATTTTTATTTATTTATTTATGTTTGTGAGGAAGATCAGCCCTGAGCTAATATCCGTGGTAATCTTCCTTTTTTTGTTGAGGAAGACCGGCTCTGAGCTGACATCTATTGCCAAACCTCCTCCTTCCCTGCCCCCCGCAAAGCCCCAGTAGATAGTTGTATGTCATAGTTGCACATCCTTCTAGTTGCTGTATGTGGGATGCAGCCTCAGCATGGCCGGAGAAGCGGTGTGTTGGTGCATGCCTGGGATCCGAACCTGGGCCGCCAGTAGCGGAGCACGCGCACTTAACCGCTAAGCCATGGGGCCGGCCCAGAAAACACTTTTAAAAACATGGAGAAAAGGAAGCTGTTGACATTTTTCCAAGCTGGAAAATTAGTAGGGGAAGAAAAAGCATCTCATGAGAAAAATACCTCTAAATATGAAATTCTTCAATACAAAATTATAAATGAGACTTTTTTTTAAATGCAGACCTAACACGTAATGCAGGCTTATGCATAATTCAGGCTCACACTTCATTTGTTTAATTCGTCTACTCATTGGATTTTGCATCACCTTGTTAATACAAAAACAGAACGAATTCAATAACTGTTCTCACATTGGGATTCTCTAAACAGATTTCTTTAGAATTCTACGTTTACAATACCTAAGTATGGAAATGGAAAGTTTTATAGTTCCACTATTGCTTTTAATTCAAACACCTGAAATGTCTCCCAGAAAATTCAAATTAGGATTAATCAAAATTAGAACACTCTTAAGTGTGTCGCAGTATTTCATTTGTTTAAATTAGTAGTTGTAATTGGCAGTAAAGCTTGGGAAAATTAAAATTTTGACCAAGTACAGCTTAGTGAAGTTACACCTAAGGGTCATATCTATTACAGCTCTAACACCTTTGACTCACTTTTAGACACTTCAAATAAGACTAAGACTTCAGTTTCTCTATAGTTTACCTTCATCCTGGAAATATACTATAAAAATTACTGAAACAATAAAGTTCCTCTTCCCAGAACCAATAGAAAAGGAGATTGATGTTTACACTCTTCCAGTGATCACAGAAAGCTTCTACAGACACACAAACCACACCATACCCACCATGAGACCAAAAAAACAGCCTCATTTTACCAGCAGTTGCCGCCAGACCACCAGTGTACGTTAAATGGTAGAGAGCCACGCAGGCTCTTATCCCTCCTACAAGCAGGGTTGTGAGACTGAACTTCAGCTTATGTACTCGGAGAGGATTCCACACAGGACTGTAGCAGAGGAGGCAGCAAGCAAACCACTATTCAGAGAGCCCTGGGATACGTATGTAGGGGTTTCTACTCAGGAACCTTCAGAAAATATCCCTCCTGCCTATATTTGTATCCATGTTCCAACTCTAGGAGAAAAGTTACATACTATTTCTTAAAGATTCTTTAAGAATAGTTCTCTGAGAATCTAAGAGGAAGTTCCACTTACCAAATGTCATTTACTGCCAGGACAGTGGCTGCCATGGTCGCAGCGCACATGTGCAAAGGGACATCTTATTCCTGAGACAAAGACTTGGGGAGCCATGAGATCACCTCCTTGTGATGATTTCCCCTGTAGGTGCATTGACATGTTCTGCACAGGGAGTGGCTGTTAACCTGGGAGGAACTAATGCTTAAATTACTGAAAGTTAGCCATAATGATTAATTTAGGCAGAATTACCTAGAGGAAAACATGTCAGTGATCACTGAAAAAATACTTGGTGTCAACTGAAACATCCTCAGAGAATAGTGAGATCTGGAAGTGGGAGAACTAATCTGGGCACACATGGCTGTATGGAATTCCTGTCAGCCCTGGGGGTTCTGTCTTCCAAACTGCTGCACTTTAACAATAGAAGCTTGGAGAGCCATCAAGAATAAGAGAAAGCCACCATGAAATTGGCCAAAAGGGGGAAAAAGAACCAAGAGTCTTCAGTAGAAGATTTGTTGCTTTTGTATACACCTACTAGAATCCCTATTGTGTACCATACATTATTCTCACAATAAAGTGTATGAGACGCATGAAAAGACAGAGCCTTCTCTGTTTCACGGGATGAGGAAGGCAGTCAATAAAAATTGATAAAATAAGATGAAACGGTGGGCTGGGCCGGTGGCATAATAGTTCAAGTTCACACACTCCACTTCGGTGGCCCGGGGTTTGTGGGTTCAGATCCGGGGGTGGACCTATGCACCACTCATCAACCCATGTTATGGCGGCATCCCACATACAAAATAGAGGAAGATGGGCACAGATGTTAGCTCAGGACCACTCTTTGCCAAGCAAAAAGCAGAAGATTGGCAATGGGTGTTACTCAAGGCCAATCTTCCTCACCAAAAAAAAAAATGGTAGCTATAATAGACTCTCTAAAGGCCCAGGGTCGACCTACAGATGCATTTCAAAATTTTAACCACTCAGGCAGAGGAGCCTATGCTCGCAAACAGTGCTGTGGAGGAGCATCCAGAAAGGTAGGAATGAAAGGAGAAGCTTCTGGTTGTCAGGAGCCAGAGATGAGTGTCCTAAAGAAAAAAGATGAGTGGCCCAGTTACCTCGCTGCTCTGAAGGAAACCAGAACAAGTCACCAGAAAAAGGTGCCTCTTTGCCACATTGATTATTTTGAAATTGGCACTTAAGGCACAGCAGGTGCAAGAAGTATGCTCTGACTTTCCATTTTCTTCCTAAGAGCAGAAGATAAAACTCCCATGTCAAAGGTACCCTCCCTGTACCAGAAGGAAGGAAGACATCCTTCATCAGCAGAGACAGGTGAGAGCGGTGGGAGAATTGGGGGCCGAGCAATCAGACCAACAAAGCTTGTTAAACTAGCCCCTATCTTCCTCGTCACTTTTTCACCTCTACCCAAACCCCTTTGTCTTGTCCATTCTTCACAAATTTACTGATTCTTTCTCTAAGAGGTGTAAAAGCTTCCTACTATCGTCACTTTTTCAGGTCTTTCTCTTGAGAAGGCCCCCGTGTACTTGGAGACATTTAATAAAATGTGTATGCTCTTCTCCTGTTAATCTGTCTTATGTCAGTTTCAATCTTAGGCCCAGCCAGAGACCCTAAGAGGGTAGAGGAGAAGTTTTCCTCCCCCACAGCTGCTAGAATGTCCAGTGAGATAGTAAATGGAAAGTGGGCATTAGATGTTCACCATGGAAGTCATTGGTGTCCATGGCAAGAGAGAGCAGTTTTTGGAGCGATCTGGTAGATGACTTAAGAGTGTAATGAAATGAAGAGCAGACGTTAGGTGAAGATGTTGAAGGGATGCCTGCTGAAAGGACAAGTATTCACAGAAGTTCGACTCTGATGTGGCCCAAATTGAGGTCTCAAAGAGGAGCAACCATGTGATAGTACTAGAATTTTTTAAATAGACTTTTTTTTAGAGCATTTTTGGGTTCACAGCAAAATTAAGCAGAGTCCAGAGAGTCCCCATACACCCCCTGCTCTGCCCTCAATGCTCCCCCCGAAATGCACACGCACATACACACAGGCGCTCAGAGCCTCCCTCTTCCCCCACTGTCACCTCAACATCCAGCACCAGAGCAGTGTGTTGGTTACATTGGTTAAGATATGGGCGGTTAAGATACCGCCCATATTCATAGAGTTTCTTGAGATGGTAGCTGAGAGCATGTCAGCAGATTGAAGAATCAAGCCAATGAAGGTCCAAAGATGCCAGAAAGGAAAATGTCACTGAAGCAAAACCTTACCTCCACCCTCTTAGGTTTATGGCTGGTCCTGAGAAGAGAATTACATTAACACAAGACAGACTAAAAGGAGAAAAGCATACAAATTGAGGAAGACCGGCCCTGAGCTAACATCTATTGCCAATCCTCCTCCTTTTTTTTTTTTTTTTTCCCTTTTTCTCCCCAAAGCCCCAGTAGATAGTTGTATGTTATAGTTGCACATCCTGCTAGTTGCTGTATGTGGGACACGGCCTCAGCATGGCCCGACAAGCGGTGGGTCGGTGCGCGCCCGGGATCTGAACCCAGGCCGCCAGTAGCAGAGTGCGCGCACCTAACCGCTAAGCCACAGGGCCGGCCCCAAAACCTAAATGCTTTTACACTGGGTTGAACAATGAGAAGGTATTGTGGAAAACTAACTGCTGTGTGGGGAGGCTAAAGGAAGATAAGAATTATTTTCACAAGGTTTGTTTGTACAGAATTCTCAGCTTCCCATCCTTGACAATAAGAACGCCCCTCTCCTTCTGGCATAGGGAGGACATCTGTTGTGGTGGTGGCAGGGGCAGAGGGGCGGGGAGTTATCTCTTACTTCCAGGAAGAAAGGGTCAGTGTGCCCTTCCTGCACCTGCTGCTTGTTGGGTTTTGATTGTTTTTGTTGTTTTTTTATTTTTTTGTGTGTGTGAAGAAGATCAGCTCTGACCTAACATCCATGCCAATCCTCCTCTTTTTGCTGAGGAAGACTGGCCCTGGGCTAACATCCGTGCCCATCTTCCTCCACTTTATATGGGACGCCACCACAGCACGGCCTGACAAGCGGTGCATCGGTGCGAGCCCGGGATCCGAACCCGGGCCGCGGGCCGGCCCCTTTTTGTTTTTTGAAAAGTGTCTGTAGCTCAAAACAATACTCTGGTGTCCTTTACAGCCAAGTCTTTTATCTCGGGTTTGGCTTTTTATGGGAGGAAGGACATATTTCTCTGAGGGACACATTTTCTGACACGATGGGATGGGTAGAGAAGGATAAGATAGGAGCGGGCGGGCCTGTGCATATTCTTTTCTCATGTAGTGGGAAGATGATTTGGCTCTTGCTGGATGGGATCTAATTTCT